ACACACTAAACCCCATGAGCACAAGAAAAACTAAGGCCCCGGCCGACGACCAAAAGCACCTGAAGAGTAAAGCCCATACAGCACCAAAGGACCGCAAGGCCCGGCTGCAGCACAGGCAAACGCGCCGTAGTAGGGCCGGCACAAGCCACCAAAGGGTCAGGCCTGCCAGGGCACAAGCCCAAGGGTGCACAAGCACAGGGCCCACCGGCCTGTGACGCGGCAGGGTGAGCACAAGCCCGCCCGCTGAGCTAAAAGCCACAAAGGCCGACAGCGTTGTCAGAAAGGCAGGCAGGCAGGAAGGCACAAGCCAGGCGCATGCAATGTGCAGTCAGAGGCCTCAGAAAAACTTTCAGACAGGAAGACAGCATGTCAGCGCTCACAGATCAGTCGCGTCGGCACTGACTACAGTAGTGGCCTCCATGTGAGCGTCTACTTGTGTTGCTCACTGGACGGCCACATGAAAATCCGCACCGGGCTCTACATGGTGCAGCACAGTAGCCACTCAATGAGTGGCCGTGGTCCCTAAGGACCTTCGGCAACCGCTGCAGCGGGAAGCGAAGGGGCAGCACGTGGCTGGGAATCTCCAAGCCCTGCAGGACATCCACGGCGCACAAGTAAGGCAGCTCGGCAGATCCACTGAGTTCCAACCGGCAGGTCGGGGGTGGATCAGGAACCGCCTGGGCCACAGGCAAGACAGGCTGATCACCAGCAGGCGCCACTGAGGCAGAGGTGGCAGCGCTGGCAGTGCCCCCGTCCTGTCCCTCAGCTCCATCAGGTGGTGCCTGAGACGAGGAAGCAGCCGCCCAAGAAACGTCTGCAGTCGAGTCAGGGGCCAAAGGCAGCGGGAGGTGCAGGGTCAGAGAGGTCAGGAGGGGCAGCCACAGTCGGTGCCCGAGCCGCTGGACGGCCAGGGGGCACAGCATCATCGTCCATGGTGTTGAGGTCGAGCTCCTGAAGCCAAGGCGGTGCCCCTGCAAGAAGGCTGGGCGAAGCACCAGCGACGGCAGGGTCAGGATCAGTGACAGGCACCGCAGGCTCGGCAGAAGAACTCGGCTCCCCCTGATCCCACTCTGGCAGCGGCTTGATGTCATCATCGTCGTCGCTCTCGTGGTCATCCAGGCCAGCAGGTACAGTTGCTGACAGACCGCCAGAGTCAGGAACGGCAGTGGTGTCAGCCCCGCCTTCAGCAGCAAGAACAGCAGGTCCTGCGTCAGACGCGGAACCAGGCATACCACTGCCACCGTCAGTCCCAAGGCCCAGGAGGTCAGTGTCGACAGCCGACGGCAGATCACCACCTTGGTCAGGTGCTTTCCAGTCAGAAAGCACAGTGGGGGCAGACGACTCGGCATCGCTGTGCTCGTCCTCTTCAAGGATCTCCTTAGCAACAGAAACCAGCCGGCGCAGTTCACCCCGAGGGATAGCCTCCAAGGTGGCCGTCAGCATATCAGTCTCCGCCTGTGCGAGGCTGCGGGCTCTGCGAACGTAGCGTGAGAGAGGCACCAGCGACATGACCAGCACCAGCCCAACAGCTAGACAGAGACAACAGAACACAACACAACAAAACAGGCACTTAAGCCAAAATGGCCGCGAGGTGGCATTAAAGTGACTTGCAGGCAAAGTGTACATAAACAAACCCGCAGTTTTCCAATCCTCAAAAGACACCGTATAGAATCTTGCTTTGGTATAGGGAGTTCCTGCAAGAGCGCAGGCACGCAACACGACCAAAAAAGCAAAGATGCGGAGAGAATGTGCGAACTGTATTGGTTTTGGGTCGCTGCGTTTTGGTGATCCGAGCATGGATAATTGGCACTGTATACGATAACCCAAGAAAACCCCAAAAAACAACAAACAACAAAGCAGTTCCGGCATTCTCTCTGGATCTCTGGCTTTTTGGTTGTTTGGTTTTTTGGTCAGAGGCTGGGGATTGAGGCCATACGAAAGCAGACCGCAAAACAAACATGTTTATCGATGCAGTTCCTGCATTCTCTGCGGACTTCGGTTGAGGGGTTGACGCCAGCAGAGAGCAGGGCTTGAATCCCGAACGCACGCAAAAGGCCGAAATCGCCGGCGGGAGTGGATGGTCTGTCATGCGGGACGCGACCATGTTATTTATCTACAAACATGCTTAAATCACGTGGCCTTCGCCTTGCTCGATCGAATGAGAGACTTTGCAAGCATTTGAATGCTCTTGGGGTCGCCCCCTTGCTTTGCCATAGCCTGGCAGCACGATAGATAGCAGCCCACATACATGCGAACGGAAAACAAGAAGTGCACTCTCTGAAATCTCCCGGCAGTGCAACGCTCCGTCGAGCCTGGATATCTTTCCGAATCTTGTCTTCCTCCTGCTCGATTTTCCTGCTTTAGCATTTCATGGCTTCATGGACTCGAGATGTTGTGGACATCCGGCAAACATGACCTCTCAGTCCTGATGCTTCTGTCCAAACCTCGAGCTTCAGAGCGTAGATTTCTCTGCCATTGTCGAACCATTTCTTTGGCAGATTCCTCACTATGGAGCGGGGCTAAATGCTGGAACCCGCAATGCAACCGCATCATGTCGAAGGAACCTATGTCCAGAAAGCCACAAAGAAAAGTCAGTAGCGCAATGCTCTGCAGTTGCGCGCCTGCTGGGCCTCCTGCGTGTGGCCCTTGCCAAACAGGTTGATTCCCAGCGGCATCGCGTCAGAAAGAGGACAGCGGCCAAAAGAAAGCTGTTAAACATGCTTGCAGCTTCCAGCACACATGATGCAGCTTTGGCACGCAAGGAAGGCCGAACATGGAGGTCAAATCTGAGTAATCTGACATGCGTGTGACTGCTTCATGCGTCGTGAAAGTTTAGAGTTCTTTCCCAGAAAATGCGTCAAAATTCCACGACTTCAAGCTGACTGCGGCTCTGGGCGACGACTCTCTCGCCTCCCTCACGGCTCGCAACCTGCATTGGCTTGCACCGCTCTTTAGGTCCTACCGACAGCCAACAACCTTCTTATAGAAACGTGCGTAACTGCGTAACGGCGAAATGGGTTAGTCTCAAACAGGAGCGCGGCATCCACGTTTGGCCGATACGCATCGTTTGCGTGGCCGGGCACACCACCCTCAACATTCTGTGCCCGGACGATTATGGACCCGGACACTACCCACGAAGCACCGTAGGAGAGAGTGCTGAGCAGGATGATACCGTCAACGGACGACCCCAGACGATGCCACGCTCCTTTCCCCCCTCAGACGGTTGGTCGAGGTACATTCGCCCTATCTCCCAAAAACTCCTGCGATCAGCTTGGCTTATGCTGCGGGAATCACGGAGGCCGTTCAATTCAAGGGTCGCTCCACACTCTTTTTAGCTGTCGCAGCTGTGTGCCTTGCTGGCAGGCTGGAGGAAAGCACTGGACAAGTTGCAGACAGTGGAAAGCATGCAGGCTGCAGGTTTTCCAGCCTGCCAAGAATCCTGGGAAGCAGAACTGCAGTGAACTCACCGTGCTGCTACGTCATGGGACATCAGCAGCAATAACACGCTAAACGCGGACTGTACCCGTGAAATTCACATGCAGAGGCAGAGATGTGTTCAAAAGTTGTAAAAAGAAGCCTCGAAGAGACTTCGCACCGGGCGGGCCCTTTAAAGGCGACACTGTTCATTAACTCCAACTGCTGTGATCACTCTTCTCGCTCACTGGCTTAATTGCATTGTAGATCCGCATCACCTGAGGACGAATTTTTCAAAACACCTTGTCACTATGGCACTTTAAGGCATGAAGCATTCTGGCGATGCTCCGTGAATGGCGACGGGACGAAGTCGGGATAGACCTGGTGAAAGCGGAGAAACACCTGATGCTGCCAACACATGCCACCACGACACATGCTCGTTCTGGCCTTGAGGATGAGGGAAAACACAAGCATATGCCCCGGTGGTGACAGCGGGATAAGGAGCAGGATCAGGAAGGGCACCGATACGAGCAAGTCCTGGACTTGAGAGCACATGCTGCGAGTGGGCCTCAACATGCAGCACAGCTTTTGCTCCGAAGTCCTTCACAGCTCGTCTGCAGATCCGGACTTCTCGGTCTTCTAGGGCGTGATTCAGGAAGACAACCTGCATGAAGCGGCTGCTCTTGGAACAGAACCAGGTTCTTAAACGGTGCGCCTTGAGGAGAAGCTTTAGCGTAAGGCGGAGGTCCTCCAAGAACAAACTGACCACGGCGCGGCACAGAGGTGCGCCGGAGGTGATTGCATAGCTCTGCCTGGGAAAGCAGGCGAACTCCATTGGCCTGCCGAGACTTGAAAAGCGGAAGGCTTGGGAAAGCGCCAGGCGCTTGAATTAAGATTGACAGTTATCAAGTGGCGCTGTAGATACTGAGATACTGAGAGCGTCTCGGACTTGTCTTGCTCCGGTAGATGGCTAACATGCTTGTTAGTTGCTTCCTTTTTTGTCCATGCTCTACAACTACACGTCCAGACGTGACTGGAGGACACTGGAAATCTTCCATTGCTCGACTTGCTTGTGCTCCCATGCGCCTCATCACATTATCACATTGTCATTTGCCCTCTCCGGATGACTCCATACAGTCATGCACATTGACATGAAGCCCAAGCCTGGAAAACGATTCCTCGCCGAATCTTTTGCCAGGAAGTTGCGAAAGACAACCTAAGGCAGAAGCACGGCACCAAATCAACCCCCGTCGACTTAACGACCGCGGCATTTGTCTCCGGATCGGCGCGAAGAAGCCGCTACCTTGGGAGCATATCGAGAAGACTTCACAACGGCAGATCGGAGGCAGCAAGGAATCGAACGCTGGTTGATTCGCTCCACGTGCAACCCGACGCTTTGAGCAATGGATGCCTCGGAAAGCACCGGGCACCAGCCTGGACACGTCCCCGCCGTACTATATACGGATCTCTGTCTTCCGATTGGACTCTCGACGCGTCGAAGAGATTCAAGGCCCTTACTATCTGCTCCTCGAGCATCTGCAGCTCGTCCCAGTCCAGGCCCTTGATGTGTACCACCTGAAGATCGGCACCACGCATTGTCTATGGCTCTATGGCTGCGGCAGAGTGGGGCAGTGCCCCAAGGGTGCCTTTTCTGGGCTCTCTCGCACGTACTTCCGGTACGGAGCGACCTCCGAATTCCAGCTCTCTCCGACAAACGAGAGGCGGTGAAGCCCGGACCTGAACCTCCAGGGCAGACAGCTTCAGCACCAGCCGCTTCAGCCGACGACCTGCAGTCGGGCGCCGTCGCAGACGGAGTCTACTTAAGTTCTTCCGTCTCCTCCTCCCGACCGGCAGACTGCCAGGGCATCCATCACAGTGATTTGACAGCAAGAATGTGTTTAGAACTTGTTGGCAATGAACGGAAGGAAGACCCATGGCGAATGACTAAAACCCGCAAAGAGGTTTTGTCTGCTCCCAGATGCTCGCTGAATTTCGGGCGAGAGGCGATTGCGACAATGGCAGGCTGCCGGGAGCAGAAGCTAGGATCTACAGGAGTACACAAACACAGAATTGGCACCTTCCAACCCACTCACAAAGCTCCTCTTGCCCCCCATTGCTTTCAAGGCCTGAGTGATCCCATTCGGCAATATCAGCTTGCACCAGCAGCTTCTCCAGCTGCAGCGCAACCTGAGCGAGAAGACAGTACTCAGAGGTGCTGTATGCAAATTGCAGTGCAACACAGGGTTGTTTGCATGGCATGCAACAGAGCACCTTCTGGCATCTTTGGGCACATGAGCTGCCTTCGCTCTTCCCGTGCCTTGTCAAAGATCAAATCCACGTTTGCAAGCAGGACGAGGACTTGATGACCAGAGATCCGTCGATCCCAACCTGATGCGGAGACCGGAGCAGCCACGCCCATTTGCGAGGAGGAGCCATGCTTTGGATTTTTTCCACCAAGATGCGGAACAAGTCCGTTGTCAAGTCGATGGGCTTCTTGTCTTGCAAGCCGCCCTTGCTGGCTGCCTGCCACGAAGCTACAGCGCTTTGTAGCTCGCACTGGAGGAGCAATTGTGGTGCCTTCTTCATTTTCTTAAGCACTTTGGCTCGTTTCGCTTTGGCTGTCTTGAGCTCCTGCTTGGCCTCACCAGAAACAGGCAGACGCGTCGGCCACAAGCGAACATCCATCCGAGAATTCTGAATCGATGTGCCGCGGCCATTTCTCGCCTGGAGCAGAACAGCCTCCTTTTGCTGTATTCGTCCCTCGGCCTCCTGCCGGCACATGCTTCGCACACCACTGTTGCACAAGCTGCTGGTGCCTGCGAGTCTTCGTACGGTGACCATTCACCCTCGGAGTGCTGAGTCTTGCCTTCAAGACGCTCCTGCAAACATTGATGTTGCACATCACAGCTACTGGCTCCAAATGCTGCTGCGGTCCCACAAGTCGCGGCTGAAAGGCTGCTCAGCTTGGGAATCCTGAAGAGAGCGCCAAACAACAGGTACAAGCATGTGCAACAAAGCTTGGAGCTTACAACACGCACCTGGAGGACGGTGTCAACGTCCACCATCTGATCCCCTCGGAGGTACCTCAACTTCTCGAGCAGCACTCCAAATTTGAAGTGCGGACAGCCACAAGCAGGGCGCAGCATGAACTTCTTGCGCGCTTGAGATGCTGCCTCAAGTTTCGCTTTCACGATACCCGGGTTCTTCGCAAATCTGCAGTGTGACAAGCGCAAGAGCTTTCTTTTCTGGAGATGCCTGTTTGTGATCCTGCAAACTCTCTACTAACTCGCGGGTCATGCCCAGGCCTGCTGTGGCTGCAATGTCACTGCGAGCAAGATGCGTGTCCGTGCGGCGTCTTGAATCACTCACCGCTGGATCTAGTATCGATACTGAACAAATGAAACTCCTGAGGTAGCGGAGAAGCGGCCGTGCTGTTCGACGGTCTATTGTAAGCTGCACAGTCCCAAGAAGGCCAAAACCCAGCAGCACATCGCAGGCGATGCAAACGGCTGGGGCATCACATCCACCCGGCACCGAAACGCCACTCGCGGACTTCGTCCTTCTGACAAGTCTGGGAAGGACTGCATGAAGTCTCGAGGTCTGCAGACAGTCCTGGAGCAGAGAAACAAAGTCAAGAAGGCCGACAACGTCCACGCCGTCCACGAGAATGTCGGTGCGAGGAGCCCTCTGACAGAGCACCGTCACGACATGAAGAGCTTCGGCCCAGCGTCGATGGCGGCGAAGTACTGCCAACGCTGAATTCACCGAATTCGATAGAGCGCCAGCGCATGTGCCGGAAACGGAGCTCATGAGGATCTCGAGCGCTCGCGTCCAGGAGAAGCTTGACAGCAAGGTGGATCCTTCCGCTTCCGCACCGCCAAGAAGAGTGACAGGATCAGCGGCATGAATCCTGGATCGCCTCATGTCCAAGAGAAGCTCCTCGGCACGTCCAGACCACTCGTGGTCTTTCAGGCTGCTGACGGCACGCAGTGTCGTCGCCACGCTCACACCATCCGGCCGCAGACTCCGCTCATGTCCGTCACGTAAGAGTTGCAAAGCTTGCTTCCAGTGTCTTGTGCGACGACATGCAGCAATAGCCGTGTTGTAACAGACGACATTGGGAAGCACGTCTTGCCAGCCCCAGCGTGCCATTTTTCCCGAAAGAAGCTCGACTGCCGCCCGCCACTGAGCAGAGCGTTCACATGCAGCGAGGACCGTCCCCAGTGTCGCCACAGACGGTTGCACTTCGAGCTTCCTTAAGTATAGGACCATGGACAGTGCTTGCTCCCAGGCGTGAGCCGCTGCACATGCTCGAAGAGTAATGTTCAGTGCGATGGTCGCATCGTCGCCATCGAGGGATGACGGAACTGTGTGCCTGAGCGCCTGCAGAATGTAGAACATCTTACTCCAACTTCCGTGAGCGGCCATGAAAAGGTAGTTGCACCGAATCCCGACGCTTACGTCAATGATCACTCCAGACCCGAGTAAACATGCACCCAGCACCGCGCTTGCGCTTGGACCCGCTTCGCGAACTTCAAGCCCCGTCTGTACAGCAATAAAGGTTGCAAGAGCCACCTGCCACGAAGCCCTCGTTGCACACTGAAGGCAAAGAAGTTGGTAGGTCTCTGCAGAGACTTTTAAGCCCAGCCCACGCACTTCCTGGACGAGGAGGCTTGCAATCTGCCACTGGCCGGCCTTCAGTGTAGACCTCAATTTTCTCTCGTAGCCTTAGTTTGGTGCATGACTAGGCTAAGTCAACAGCTTAATTGCACGCCTTCTGACGAGTAACTTTGAAGCCCGGGACTCTGCCCCTGCCGCCAGAGCCCAGCCGTTCCATGCCGAGCCAGCGCCAGCCCCCGGAGCCCAAAAAGGGGCCCAAGGGGGCTCTGCATCGGTGGCCCGTGGCCATTTTGAAAGGACAGTGAACACTACTTCGGTGGTGGGGGATTGTACCAGTCTCTGCTGGTTCACGAGCCTTCTCGCAAAACAAACAGCTACTTGTAGCATGCCGCTACGAATCGGAATGTCTCTGAGGCGAAGCACTTTGGCATTCAAGCTCGTACGGCGTGCATCCTGCCAGCCAAATGCAGCAAGCACGCGCCACACAGGGAACCGACTGTCGTGGATGGGCTCCTGCTCGCTGCTGCTCTTGACCGCATCCTGACAAGAGCGACGAAAATAGGTTGAATGGGACGAGTACAAGGAAAGCGGTGGGACGTGCCACCAACACAATCACATGCGATCTTCGTCAGTGTAGTCATCTGACGCAGAACGGAACACAGCCCCTGCCTGGCCCACTTGCGCATCGCGACCAGGCTCCTCTCAACAAGGTCTGTGACGACCCGGAACCCAAGGTATGAAGAGACACACCTGCGTCATTTCCACGACTCTGTCTTGCAGCTCACCCTGTATGAGCTTCAAGTCCTCCTCTGCCTGCCGGGCCCAAACAAACCTCAACTTCTGTCAGCTTCTGACAGCATCGCCTTCCAAGCGTCCTCTTCACACAAGACCTCGGAAGCCTCCAGCTCCGACAGCCTCGGAAGGACAGCGAAGGACAGCGCGAGCGAAGGACAGCTCTGTCACGAGCCCGGCCTCCCTGCAAATCCCTCCAGGACGTTGTACAAGCCCTGGCCCCAGATCTCTCTCAAAGAGTTCAGAAACCGCTCGCAGGGCCTCGTAGTCCACCAGTCCAGGACGCTCAGCGCCTCGCAGCCGAAGAGCCTCGCTGAGCTTTCAACTCGGGCAGATGCTGTGCCCCCATTGCCCAATGCGCAGCGAGCAGCAAATTCTCCGGAGGTCATGGCTGCACGCATGTCCTTAAATCAGCGCATGCATCATCATGCATCTCAAAGCGTCCATCTCGTCTACCGGCCTCGCCTTGACGAAGACCATGTCCTTGAGCTTGGCAATGTTTTTGCAGGCTTCCGTCTGTGTCTCCTCAGATACCCCCCGGACTCTCCGAACTGCTGGCTGCTTTGAGCGACCGGACGGTCTGCTCCCGTTTGAGGAAAGCATCGTGGCTTGTGGTCTCGCTTGGGCAATCAGAGACAGAAGCGGGCCTTGGCCGGGCAGTGGACATCCCAACATAGGTGTCGAGCGTAGAGTTTAGAGCATGACCTGAAGGCGACTTGCCCCCTCGACAGCACAAGGACCCAGGGAGACGGACCTCATCAAAGACCAAGGCTTGCGATCTGCTCCAAACGATGCCGGCAAGGAATCTCTTGCCAAGGCGGGGGCTTGCCAGTAGCGACTTCATACTGTTGGCCTCATGTGAACTGCAGAATGCAAGTAGCCACATCGTTCCTCGAAGTGAGACAGCTGAATGCAAAAGCTGGCTGAGACACTCAAAACACCAACTCGAAACGGGAAAGTGCCTCATCACTTCGTCTTCCGCCTTGCCTGGTCTGGCGGGCAGGCCCACGAAACCATCTGTGTGTGTGGCTTCAGCAACGGTCTCATGCGGACACGCTACCTTCTGGAAGCCACTGGGAGTCCAAGAACGAGCATGCACACGGCCTTAGCAGCTGGCGTCTTTGCTGTCTTCACCCACCCACAAATCGGCAAGGACCCCCACGGATGCAGATTGAGATCTTCGACCCTTTCCGCGCACTCCTTCGGGGAAATCCAAACGAAGGCCATCTCGAGCAACGCAGGGTGGTGCTGCTTTGTGCGGAGGGACCTTTCAAACCCTCAGAGTGATCGACTCTTGCCACAAAAGTCTGACCTATGAAGAGGCTGGGTCTGATGCGGCAGGGAGCATGCTGTTGAGAACCCACCTCACCTCGCCGCGATATATGCCAGGGAAAAAGCACAGACATAGATTCCAGTAAGAGTGTGGGAGGGAAAGAGCGAACGAAACTCATCGCAGGAAGGTTACACCACACCTGGGCATGAAAGACATCTCGGTCTGCATGGTGCTGCTCAGCTCTGAATTTGACTTGAGCTCAGCGGACGCACTTTTGCTGGTTCGACACTGTGTTCGAGTGCACACGTCTGCAGTAGTCTACATGTCGAGGCAGGGTCTAAGCTCTACGTACCTGGAGCGTCTAGGAACAGTTACATGCACACACTGACAAGTGTACTCATCTACGAGGCGGCATTTGAGCCGGTGCGCTGCCGCGATATGCTGCGATTGTAGCAGCTCTTTCAAGCTGGTTGACACCCTTCTTCATGCGATGGTGACGGCGCCGGCGACGGCCGACAGCAACGACGACCACGACAACGACCAACAGAACGGATACGTTACCCATGACGAAACGCCACATTACCGCTGAGCACCAATAAGACAGTAGTTCAAATGGTGCAGACAGGCACCGACGCCATCCCTCGCACCACCCGGACCACGCTGAAAATCTCGATGTAGTTATCTTCGAATTTTGGCACGTCGGAGCCAACCACACGAAGAAGAACCAGCAGATACCAGCGGCAGCAGCAGCAGCAGCAGCAGCAGGGGCTGCAGTGGCAGCAGTGGCACACTGCACGATAAGCAAAAGGAACACCAGCAGCAATTAAACGCTATCTAGTTGCATCTTTATCATCACCTCCTCCACAAGTCTTCGTCCTTCGTCCTCGTCCTCGTCCTCCTCCTCCTCCTCCGCCTCCTCCTCCTCCTCGTCCTCATCCTCGTCACCCTCCTCCTCCTCCTCCTCCTCTTCCTTCCACTGCTTTCGTCCACATCGGGACCAAAACACCCAGCAAAGCATGCTGAAACTAAGGTGCGCGATTCAGATGTCGTCGACACATGAGACTATTGGCCTCTCTTGACTTCCATCCAAGAACGGTAAAGGAGCAGAGATGACGCATCGGAAGCAACTGCCTTGATGATGCTCTACTACCGCTTGATTAGCCCGTAGCCGTAGCCGCCATTGCCACTGCCATACGGCCATACGGCATAAACTCTTTACACATAGTTTGTTTCACAACCAAGTTGTCGAAGGAAGTGCCACACATGCCTCCTGCAGGCATGACCATGACAGCACTTTTCAACTGCCGCTGATCGCGACACACTCAGAGAGTTGAAACGGGCGCTTTAAGCGCATCTCGTAGCCAAGAGAGATCTATCCTGGCAACATCGTCAACTCTTCAGATGCACATGCGCACACCGGAAATCACCCGACTCGCCTTGGATCCTGCAGAGCCTGTGAAGCATAGACATGGATGAGGGTCGATCCTATGGTCCAAGTCTGCATTGGGCACGCCTCGGGCCCAGCCGGAGCTGCCGCCGGAGCTGCCGCCGGAGCGGCAGCCGGAGCAGTTAGGACGCTGGGGTCCAGCGAGGCCCTGCCCTCGGAGACCACCTCCTCAATCAGAGAAAAGCGCTTGCATTTTACATGCAAAGAGTGCAGGGAGTGATAGGAGTGATACATGTAGGACGGAGCACTCAACTTTGCCTGTCTGCCTACCCGGGACCCTGCAGAGCCTTGCCCTGTTTGCTCAGTGACGCTTCGAGTTGTGCTCTTGCCTCGCGTGTCAGGGCAACTGCTTCCGTGAAAAGTACACCGCCTACCCGAGGCAGGAAAACGTGTCGGGTCAAGGGAAAGCAAGGCGGCGCTGTTTTAAAATCATGTCTGACATTCTTGCAAAACGGGCATCCTCCGAGGTTGACGCAGTAGCATTGCCGTGCACCATGTTCGCCGCACAATCTGCAGTCATGATGGCTGCTTCTTATGTGCGGATTCGGCTGATACCTCCCTCCTCCCCCCCCGCCGCTCTGAGGAGCGGGCCCAAGTCTGTACAGCTGATCTTACACACAGGTTGCGGGCAAGCAGGGGTTGGCTTGCATCGCCATTTGCACCTGGACTTCCGAAGCTCCCAAGGACTTCCCGTACAGGACTTCTCAATACCGAGATGGCGATCTTTAAGTCTGCCACTTGGGCGTCGCACACGATGTCTGGCAGCTGTCCGCACAGGATGTCGTGCAAACAGGGGGGTTGCACCTCGAACGGCCAACAATCAGAGATGCATTCTCCAAGACATTCGTGAAATTCGTGAGGCACCCGCACTGTTTGGCATGCAACAGCTCTGCTGCAGTCAGAGCCTTCGCACTCTGTCTGTGGACATACCACCGCACCTGGCCGCCGGTTTCGAATCATGCGTGAACATAAAGTGACCTTCGCAGGGCATTCGAGCCCACGCAAGGCTGCAATGGGGCACACAAAGGTTCGCCACAGCGAGTTTCGCACTGCGTCCGCGAGGAACCTCAAGCAGCACATGACAGCGCAGACATGCACGGATCTCATAACAGCATGAAAATGGCAGCCTTGAAGATTATGGTGGACAAGCTTCACACTCTCAAGAGCAGTAACACCAAGTATTCCGACAGTCCTCCTGACTCCTGACGTGCTGAGAATCGCGCTGCAAGTTGTCACACACTCAGGTGGTTCGCAAAGGGGCTCACACTCATGTGTTGCAGGACCTCTACAAACTTGCTGCCGCAAGAACACTAGCAGAAACCTTCTCCCGCTGAGCAAAGGACAGTTCGCTTGCTCGCAATCATACTGGCATTTCGGACCACACTTCCTTGGTGCGCAGAGCTACGCAGCCAGGTATTCAAGGCGGTGAGCCCGACGATGGTACGAGGCTGCCGCTGCGGCTTGTCCTGGGACACGGCCCCAGATCAAACCGTTGAACCCTTCAACAAATGTGTTCGCTTGCGATGCAGTCCTCAGCCTTCTCGACGGGAATGTCCTGCCAAGGGGCCTGAACCAGGGCTTTCACATGCTTTCACCACAGGCGGCGAATAAAAGACCGAACAATACCAGAACAGGATCGAGAAGGGACCCGAAAAGTCATAAAATTTTCGGCTCGAAGGAGAAACCTAGCGTCCCAGTGGTGAGCCGTTGCAAGAGTCATAGTCAGCAAGCTCATCCGCACGTGAGATGGCAACCATTGCAGGAATTCATGAGCAGGGACCTGCAACAACCGGATCAGACCTCAAAACAGCTGCAAGCTGCATTTGCGGCTGCTTTTGCGTATCGAAAGCAAAAGGGGCAACGGATCGTTCTCGATTTCGACACCATGCGCACTGAGGCGGACGATTTTTAAGAGCAAACGATCTGCGGGTTTGAAGAAGGGGACGTATCTCCAACGCACTCTTCCTGCTCACATGTCTATATCTGCCTGCTTCACAGCGATGCTGCCGGAGAAAGAGCTTCGCGCTCGAAGACGTGCAACTGGAGCCAAGGTACGAGCTGCAACAGCGCTGATACTCATCAGCCGGCAGCAAATCTTCAACGGACAGAACCTTCGCCCGATGTGCAAGCTACGAAGCCCACAAGTAGTATGGCCAGCATCGGCCTGCAAAGCAATGTCCAACCGCTCTTGCGAAACAGTTTCCGCTCACCGAACCTTCAAGCTTCGTTGATCACCCAGCACCTGTGCAAAGCGGAGACTGTGTCAACATTGCTCTGAAGGCGGATACAACCAGCTGGCCTAGAAATCGGCATTGCGCCGATGAGGTGCTGACAGCTGGAGATGCAGTGCCATGAGCCAAACACATCAAGAGATCCCTTCACAAAGCTTGCAACTCAGGTCAATTTCCCTTACCCCCTCGCTTCACAGTCGCACTGCACCATTTTATTCCGAGGCAGCTGTTCTTCAGCTCACTCGATTGTGAGGTGGGGCTCAGCATCTGTTCACAGGCAGTATGCTTCAGGGCCTAGGAGCTGCTGTTAGCTGGACCGACCACCTGCAAGCATCAGCTGAGCGCTTGCATGTGATCGTTGTGGCTGTGGCCTTCGATGCTGCCGCATAGCCAGTTGTCGAGTCGGCCAGCAAGATCCAGCCTTTGCTTACACAAGTGGCCGGCACCAAAGCCTGTAAAGCTCGGATGCCTGGTGGCCGCGTGAGGCGACCCCATACTTTCCCTCGCCCACCACGTATGGCCTGCAAACAGGATGCCTTCGCTGTCCTCCCTCATCCAGTCAAGCGTTCTCTTGGTGAATCTGAAGACTAGCTGCAAGCCTCGACGGCTTCTGCGCTTCAGGGTTTGGGGTTGAGGGTTTGGGTAGGGTGTAGGGCTTAGCAAACTATGAGATTGCAAGAACGGTCCGACGGCTGACTAGCTTCGTTCGGACATGCCCTGCAATGCTTGTTTCATGTGCAGAGCGCCAAGGTTGGCCTGAACAACCAGGACCGTCTTGCCAGCGTGGAGCGTCTGCAAGACTTGCGAGGTTGCCGTTGCAGCAACGTGCACGTCCTGGCAGATGCTCCCTGCACGCGATGTTCACAACTCGACATGCCGGAGAAGCCACTTGGTGGTCGCAAATGCGGCATTCTCCTAGCCAGTCCTGGCAAGTCCGCAGGCTCATGCCAGAAATCTCTTCTGGGAATTCGGACATACTCCAGCCTGGCTAGTTCGTCCACTCTGACTTTTCTCAGGTGCCTCGCTTTGTGACCAACAAGTCTCACTTCTTGCAGAAGGAGCACTACCGTCTGAGCTGTTTGACACTCAAGCTGAAGAACTTCTTGATTTGCACCTGCCAGCAAGCAGGTCCCCCAGAAGAAGTGGTCACGGACTCGATGCCTCAGAGTGAATTGGCTTCGCTGCCACCTGTTGCAGCCGCCTGCTGCAAGCATATCAGTTTAATTTCTCCTTTTGACATGGCCTCAAGGCTCCCGCCTCAGCATTTGCGAAACGGGTGTTCTGATCGTCGATTCCGTCTTGGCAGAAGCATCCGTCAGGTTCCGCCTCGACCCAGCAGTCATTGACACATCAACACTACGTAAAACGTTGGGGCTCCCGACTGGGCTCTTAGGCTTGGAGACTGAGCACCTGCAGCCATCTGGCCGATGCAGCACATCAAGTGCCACGCAACAGAACATAAGCATCCTTGCAGATCCTTGCAGCTGAGCCTGCTTCGTCCTTCTCGGCAAACCTGGAAGCATTTCAGTGACGCATCACTGAGCCTTACAGGCTAACAACTTCAGAGAGCCCTGCTCATCCTCCTCCGAGTCGGAGCCCTTGACTTGCGTCAATTCTGATGCCCGAGTCTGCGCTTGACAAAACCCATCACCGAGCTCGGGCTGCTGCAAGTACGATGCTGCCGCGTCGGTTTCGCTTCCGTCGCTGTCGCTGAACACGCCTGGCTACACTTTCAAACCACTCGCAGCGATGTCGTAAAGATCTCCGGGGCCTGCGGAGGACATCGACGACGATGTACACGACAGCCAAGCCTTGCGCTCAATCACTCTGCTGCAATCACTTTCGCATGCAGTCATGAATGTGTTAGAAGATCCTCTGACATCTGCTCGTTGGTGGTGAAACGATTCTCCCAAATTGAGGTGGGTCTTGCTATTGAGGACTACCTCCATTCAAACGTCTTCTTTAGGGAGACTGGCTTCTGCGGATGCTTCAGTTTCAACTTGCGAAATCCGTTCCCCGGAGATATCTTACTGAAAGCTTAGCTGTGAGATCATGCAGGAACATGCAGGATGTTTCAGCATGCAGCTGAACTATGCAATCCCATCTCCAGGCCTATGAGAACAACGTGGCCGATGGCCTGGGACTGCAACAGTCCAGAGCTGAGACGACACCGCCCCCGCCCCCGTCTGAGCCAGGAGCAAAAAGATTGAGAATGTTCATCTCGCTTAGTGGCCCCCCGGAGTCCTCGGCTAGGATCAAGGATTTCTCTGGGTTCTGGGCGCACTTCCAAAAGCAGAAGCCGAGCAGCTGCAGTAGAATTCCCGGTGCTTTGTCCGACTCCTGCCTCGGCTGCTCTGCTCGGCAGAGCACTGCTCCACCAGATGCTACAGCGACTGCGAAAATTTCTGTGGGCTAGCGGCGATCAACTCCGCGGAGAGCTGGTCATCGCTGGCCAGCAGGAAGCCGAAGTAGCAGTTGCTTCCCTCGGCGGACGCAAATCCCTTCTGCCCCGTTTCCCGTTTCGAGCTGCTTGGGAATCGCTCTGTAATGATGACCATCAGCACCACCTCAGCTTTTGCAAACTGTCACTGAAGGACGGAAGGACGTCAAGTACTGGAAAGAAACAGCCCCGTGGTCCCCATGCACCCAGCTCAATTAGCTTCATCCGTGTTTGCCAAACCGAGTCGGGCACGGCTGGCATGAGCAGCGGCCCGAACCTCGGAGTGACCCGATGCCGAAATGATATATGCCGGCCAAACTAATTTGCGGACTGCTGGTGGGAGGGGCATGGTTTTGTTCTTGCTGTTTGTGCCAGTTGTCTTGGCGAATTCCCGGAAACTTGGCAGGATGCCTAAAGCTGTAATGAGACTAAGTGTGGCGATTCGCGAGATGCAGTTGTTGCAAACTTTGTCAGGGGTCCATGCAACCTTTCATGCATTTCTACTCACGTGCCTCCCACCCCCCGTCGGTGTGGGATTCGACGCTCTCGCAGGCTGAGGCAGGCTGTAAGATTACCTGAGCCCTAAGCTTCCGGGAAGAACTTTGGCCCGCACTCTTGTTGCATCTGCCGCGGCGCATCCTGGAGGGGGAGAGGTCAGCACATGTTTCCGGAGTTCAGAACACAATCCTGGAGCTTCAGGTTGAAAAGCGAAGTCTCCAGCGTCTCCACCAGTCCTTCAAAGAAGCGGCTGTGGCTTGATCCTAGCTCCGAGGCATGACTATTAACATGACAATCTTGGACTGGTGTCCGGCGAAGTAGTCGAAGCTGGATGTGAAGTAGTCGAAAATAGCTTCACTTTGATCCGAAATGGATGCACCCAGGCCATCGATGAGGTTGCTGGTGACCTGACAAGAAACAACGAGGCTTGAACTTGTCTGAGGGATACGAATCAGGCAGCTGCGATAATATGATATGCTGCGACGGACCTCGGCGTGGGCGCTCAGGTTGCGGCGTTGAGCCTCCACAGTGTACTGCATCGCAGAAGTCTTCACAGCAATACCAGGCTTCCCTTGCCTGCACTGCCTCCATGTAATGGTTGACCTGTCCATCGCCGCAGCATGCCATGGGCACTATGCTGCACCATTGCTCGCGCCTTTGACATCTTTGACTCAATTCCTTTGATCGAGGCTGTGGTGGCCTCAAACTGCGTGAGCACCTGCCGCAGAACGGCAGCTTGTTTCTTGGTGCGCTTCCGAAGCCACCTTCTCTGAGCTTTAACAACGACATCTGCTCAAGGTCCAGCCTCGTCAACCTGAACGGTGTTTAATCCAAGTACCGGAAAGTGTCTGCAGTAGAAACAAACGATGCTAGTTTTGCCCACTGCCTGCTCTCTGTCCATGGAGTGGCCTCAAGCAAAATCTTGGGGGAAGGGCATGGTGACTGGTGTTTGCAATCTCTGCTATCTCGTCAAAGGCTGCGACTGACCCCCATTGATCTGCACTGCAAGACGGGCAGCGTAGCCGCCACATGTGGTCCAGGTTTTAGTAGTGATCAGGGATTTGCTCGCAAGGGTGCAGAAAGAAAGACTTGAAGCTGTTGTGTGCTGCCTTCGTTGCCTCAGGTATCGGAAACGTTCTTGAACATACAGGCGTTGACAGGTATTGACGAAAAAGACGCCGGATTTGAGCTGAAAGCCGATGCCATTACGTGCAGAGTTGTGTCGGCGGGAGGAGCACTGACTGTTGACAAGTGCCGCACAAGACCGCAGCAACCGACTCCATGCCCATGCACACTTCTTTTGCCAGGTGCTCTAGGCACTGTTGTGAGTGGCTTCTGCTTCTGCAGAGGACATTTACTTAAACAACTGGCCGGTTGCACGAATTTCTCAACTGCAAATGAAATGTTAACATGAAGATGAGCAGACGAGTAGATGTCACTTCCATCCAAAACACGACGCAGCAAAGCAGTTGAAGGTAGTGAATTGTGGGCGAAGGACGTCCGCGTGATCACATGCACAAACTACTTTACAAGCCCAGCGAACTGGAAAGCACTCCCTCCAAGAAATACCTGGCTTCACTCAAAGATGTAAGTTCAAGCACCACCTGACCAGAACATGTCGGATGGAACTGCGACTGCCATTCCCCGAGCAGCTTACAATCTTGATCTGGCAGCCTGCTGCGTGCACGACTGGGGAGGCCTGCAATGGCATCGGCAACAGCACAGACATCAAGGATGTGAAGTGTGATGAGACCTTCTCCAGCAGCTTGCTCTGAGACGGTAACCTCGGAAGGCCCGTCCCCTTTTCCCCTGCCTCTCAGTCAACCGGACCGTTCTCATGCCCGCCCGTCAACCTACTATCGCGCCCGTGCCGTCTAAAGCAACTGATCTCGCACCTTTTCCCCCTATCGCACCCGTCCCCTATCTACAGTCTTCCCATCAACCGATCTGGCGTCCCTCCCCTTGTCCGCAGCTGCCCGTCAACTAATTATCGCCCCCACCCTCTCCCCGTCAACACTGTCCACGCCCGCCCCGTCAGCGCGTTAACTTGCCTACACCCTTGTCCATGCCCGCCCTGCCAAACGGTTATCACGCCCGCCCCTTTGCGCCACTTGCTTGGCAACTCAGATATCGTCCACAACCACACACGTTGTCCGGTCCTGGGATACCCCTTCCCTGTCAACCAGGTATACGCTCTACTGCCCTACTCCGGATCGCTCCTTGGCTCGCTTCCTGGGTAATCGTCGCTTCTCCCAAATTGCCCTTCCTTCGTTGTCCTTGCCCGTCCCTTCTCCTATCTTACCCTTACATTCCGTCCTCAGTTGACGTGTCAGTCTTCTTTTCCTCTCTCGTCAGGGTGCCTTAGCCCAGCACTAACGAGAACCCCGGGCAAAAAACTTGCTACACAACAGCCTGGCACAGTGCTTTGGTAATGACTCTGCCGGATAAGCGCAGCACATGCAGAACTGCTCGCAGTACCGGGCAGGACTCTCCTCACCAAGAAAGCACAGAAACTTCTCTAGTTAGTTTCGTTGTGTACCGGGCACCTCTAAGCCTGTAGCGAAAGCAATTTCAACACGAAAAACACGCATCACTGCATGTATGTATGTATGGGAGCAGGAAGCAGTTTGAACGGAAAGTGAGAGGTTGCAGCTCTGATGCTCCACGTAAAAACTGTAAAACCTAACACAACTCCATGCAATTCAGGAGCCCGACATCAGAAAGCCCCAGCAAGCATATTTTCCGAGCGCAGGCCCTAGGTAAGGAAGAGGCGCGCTTCAAGCAGATCGTGAGCAGCATGTGCACAGTCTACGAGCGGAGCGCACCCGAAGGGCTCATCGCCAACGCAATCTCCCTGCAAATGCTCCAGATCGGCGAGAATGCAGCGCTGCCTCGGACACTCGGACATGTCGCACGTCAAGGCAAGGCGAAGCTTGTGCTCCAAGGCCAAGGCCTAGAGGCCTACCTTTGCTTTTCGCTTCATGCTGTCAAGTCGCAGTTCAGCAGCTTGTAGAGGTCCGACCAGGTTCAAGCGAACTGCAGCCGAAACCGCATCTCGAACATTGCAGTAAAGGAAAGCCTGCACGCTTACTTCTTGCGGTAGGTCCAGCCTGACAACTCGGCGCAGGATTAAGCATGGTCGTTCGTTCACATGAAACTGGATTCCGTTTATGCTGAACTAAATTCGGTGTCCCAAGTTAGCTACGTGGCCTCACAGCTTTAGAGCTCAGTGTTGGTCTGAAGCGGCCTTGCGCAAAGAAGACCAAAAAAGCTCGCAAAGTGACCGTTTCTTGGCAGCCCTGACAAATTGCACCAGCGGCGACCGATGCGACTCAAACCGGCACCTTGCAGCAGTGAGGCCCGACAGGCCAAGCTGCCTGCAAGATGGGCATGCAAATCCTCGTCGAGCCTGCCCAGCTCGCCGAGCTCGTTCAAGTCCACGGGAACACCATCTGCTTCAGCACCCAGCCTGTGGGCACTTCTCACAAAAGGACCTTGCAGTCGAAAAGCTGAGAGCGCGAGCATCTTGATAAAATGCTTCAGTCCGTCGATGTCACCTTCCTGCCGGCTCAGCAGACCCAGCTGCACGGCCGCTTCGATACCGCCAGAGTGAGCAAAGCCACCAACCGGAAGGGTGGCATCAGTCAGGTGACACAAAGCAAACTGCTGCTGCAGGTTCAGCTCATGAGACAACGCTGGCTTGGGATGTCCTGGCTCTGCAGATGATGCCGGACCGGCTTTTGTCTGAACGATCTGAAACACTCCAGCACCATGTACTCGATCGGCATAGGGTTCAGCACCCAGCAAGCTCGCAAGGGGTTCCAGGCAAACATGTAGAAGCCGATACACGTCTTCAGTGTGTTCAGCCACAAGTCTTATTACCGTACATCCTGAATTCTCATCGGTCGTTATTCCCATGAGCGCTTGACCTTTCGTCTGCGGCAACGATATATCGCTAGGACCGCTAGGATGGCCCCCTCCAGATCGACTGGCCTCTTCAGACCTAACCCGTGCGCCTGCTCGAGCGGCGAGCAGCAACGCGACTGCTTTGGTTCTGCATACTATTCTTTGGGCTTGCGGTCCGCATGCAAAAATGGTGACAAAAGCATCAAACGACTGAAGCGGATGGTCCAAAAAATGGCAGTCATCTCTTCGAAGACGCACTGCTTCTACCAGGCGTGGTCTTTTGACCTTGCCTCCTGCAGTGCCCTCGCTGGTGTCATAAGACCCCTCCTCCCAAACAAACTCGAAGCGAGAAGCATACTCGTCAAAAGCCCACCTCTCTCCGGAAGCTATTCTGCCTGCACCAAGCCAGTCCACGATGACAGCAGATGCCCCGTCACCAGCGCTGGCATCTGTGTCGGGTGTCAATGTGAAGCGCATAAGCTGAGAGTACTGCCTCCAGCTGCAGGTGCTATGACCAAAAGTTGGGACATCCGTGCGATGAGGTGATAGAAAGGTCGCCTGCTGAGTTACTGAATGTGCGCGCAGAATTAGTCCACGAGCTGGAGTAGGTGAGCAACACAGCTGAATGAGACTGTGAAGCAAGCGAGTCACACAACTGCTCCAAAATGTGGAGTCTAGCGCTGCGCTGCGAGCTTGCAAACACGCGCACGGGAAGGTGGGTGAATGCCATGATATGGCCAGTGAATTGAGCGAGCGGGCGAATGAGCGAGCAAGTGATCGAGTAGTGATCGAGTGAGTACGTGAAGGGAGGAGAGCGAGCGGATAGGCGGATAAGTCAACAAGTGTGTGGAGTGAGCGAATGAGCGAAGAAGTGCATGGCAGAGACTTGACCTGATAACACTGATAGTCAGAAAGTTCTTAAATGAGGGAGTTCATAGAATGTAGTGTGAAGCATATAAGTGTGTTTCAGTGTGCGCACGCACGCGAACTGAAGATGGTTTGAGATGTGCGAACGAGAACGGAGCCTAGTGGATAAAACGATGGAGTGAGCGACAGGGGTGAGTGAATGGATGATGGCATCCGCACCCTAAACCCGAAACCGCCTAAACCGAGAGTGTCACTGCGAGAGTGTGAGCGAAAGTGACTGAGAGGTCGGGACCCCGCAAGCCGATCTGAATGAACCTTCGACGCAATCCATCCTCCGGCATCAACACGAAAAGCATGCGCTTGCTGCACATCGTTCGCACCACAACTCCCTACATCTTCTGAAACTAGACTATTATTGATGCGCTGGTCTTGTGGCACTGCAGCGAAACCGCAATTGGCCAAACACCCTTCTCCTCCACGATCACATGCGATGTTATTATCACAGGTGCAGACCCAGACCGTGCAAAAAAAGAACCCTGGCATAGATCGTACCGTCAAAAACTCAAAAACATAGGCCCTAATTAGGCGCTAAGCAGCGAATCATGTTAGCTGTTTAGCCAAGCTACGAGCTGGCAAACGGGACCAAGGGATCAGGAGCGAGGACGAGAAGCCCACCCTTCCTGATCCTGACTGAAATGCGCTGAATTGCTGGAAGATCCTGGTTTGTCCGGTAGATCTTCGTGGAAGCCTGTGGACAAACACGAAACCACCTCTAAGTTAAGAGTGCAATCACAATCTCGGCCTACCGCAACACCATCTTAGGACTTGGTGACTTGTGGATCCTGAGTCACGAGGGTCAGTGTGGCATTCGGATCCACTTCCACAGCCATATCTACCTCATCTCCACCAAGGAGGCCCCCACCGAAGCTGCCGATGGCACACCATGCTGAACCACTGCGCCTCTTGTCTGCAGTATGGGCACAAGAACCATGCTCCGCTATGCCGTGGAAGCCCAAGCCCATGTCAGCAAAAGCTCTAAGTCCTGGATGCTTACTCTATGCCACATGCCAAGATGCTCAACCGCGGAATTCACCATTGGGAGTAAACGCACCGGTGAGGCATGATTGAGGCGCATGATTGAAGACCTGTTGTCGATCACAGCGGTGACGATCTGAGCACCACCCTTTTGTGGACGCCGAATCGTCGAGAGCAGCCGACATGAGCTCCATGAGTACTGCCAGGGTCTAAACTGCGAGAGCATTCGCACGCGCGGGTGCGTGCGACCTCGAGAGACGCTTCGAACCAGGCCAGGCTTGATCAGAAAGCCGCGGGCATCCCTCTTCAAGCACCCGGCACACTCTGTGCACGCCTACATTACGTCAGCGCACAATGCGGCCGCTCCAGCAAGGCGGCTTCCACATCCTCGCAGAGTGCAGTCGAAGCCTCGGGCGGGTGCAACATGGTGCAACTCCTTGCACCTGCAAAACAGCATGTTGGTGGCGGCGAGCCTTCGCGTAGCTGTCAAGCTCTCGCCTCTGCTGCTGCTAAGCGCACCACAAAGTCCAGATTCTTGGCATGATGCCCCGGCGAACAACCCACCAGTCACTGCAAGCAATCACATAAAGACCACCTGGCCCCGTGGCTACTTCACTCGTCAGATTGTGGAGTGTCATTGCGAATCTCGAACCTCTTTAATTAAACTTTATCCTGTTGACGCATCTTGCCTGCAAACGGCATCATGGCTTCAGGAGCCGAGTGCTCATTCTAAGGCTGGGGCATGATGAGTTGCCGATGTTCCTCCAAACGCTCTTCATCCCGGCGGATTTGCTCCTGCGAGGAGTGCCATCAAAACCCTCTGCCGCTCTCGACGGGGCGCACCAGGCCGCACCAGGCCTCCAGCTGCGCCCGCTCGTGCGCACCCTGAGTCTGCACCGACGCCAGGGTCAACTTCAGCTTGTCCACCTATGGAAGCAGAGATGGCCCGATCAGAGGACTCGTAGACGACCTTGTATTAGCAGACATGCGCCTCCGCAGCATCTCTCAGCGAAGGAGCTGCACTTCCGATGGAAATCTGACATCGAAATAGCCCGAGCAGGATGTTCAAGCATCAATCAGGCACGCTTCGTGAAATTGCAGCGCCTCGTGCACAGCATCCTGTCCAGTTGCCAAAGAAACCATGACAGTGGACACTGAAGCAGCACTACCCCAATGCTGACCTCAGTCGCTTCCGTGGTCTTCTGGGCATCGTCTATTTGAGAAGCACTCCACTCACGATACTCCTTCCATGGAAATCACGGGCGGCAAGTCGTGTCAAATGGCATGCTCTTGTGAAGCTCCTGGTAAATGCGCGTAAGCTGCTCGTGCCGCGCCCTCATGTGACGGGCTTCGCCCTCCTTGAAAACGGACCACATGCGTGGCACATGGGAACACGTGAACACAATGTGAACACGTGAACGCGCTTAAAAAACCTCTCTTCACTCCTTCTCGGCCAAAGAGGTCTGCAGCCCACGCTGTTCCTGGGGCACAAGGGCTGCGGGAAAATGCCGAGAAGCGAGAGCTCACGCTGTTCAAGCGTGGCCTCGAGGAGCTCGTGCAGTGCCAACTCCGCTTGTTGAAGCCGCTCGCCATGGGAGGAAGACGCCGCCTTCGGAGTGCCGAAGTGCACTGAAGTGCACTGCTTGGCCTTTGGCCTTTGGCAGCCTTTCAGAAGACTAAGACGACTAAGACGACTAAGACTCCGGCCTGTGCCCAGGTTTTTTGATCGTCGAAAGCCAGCGATGCCAGAGCATCACTTGGCTCAGACAAGTCGACACCTGAGGAGACGAGCATAATGCTCGAAAGAGAGCGGCACAGCAGCGGCACAGTCATGCAACTCTGCTTTTTCCTACTCAGAAGGGCACGAACTCGAAAGTCAAAGATATCGGCCTGGCTCACAGATCTTTCCCCTCGAGCAGCCAAAACCAGCAAGACTGGTACCAAAAAAAGCCTCCTCCTCGGTAAGGGCATGCGTCAAGCACTCGACCGTATCATTGACCTGGGAGGCAGCGACAGCCTTTGCCTCACATCCCTGGGAACAAGCTCGGCCTGTCGGACCAGGCGACCGATCTCTTCAGCTCGGCTCTTCCTTCGTCTCTGTGAGCAGAGCTGCGTTCAGATGGTGGTTATAATCTGAGCAAGCCGCTCTTGCATACCAAGCTCCCATACTTCTTCATCGGCCCGTTCGCCCTCTGCCTGCCCCACAATGATGCAAAGCTTCCGAATTCACATCTTAAAGAATTGGTTCGGCCTTCAAATCCTTGAAGAGTTGCCGCAGATGGGACCGTTCGGCATGCAAGCGCTCGATGTCTCTCCTTGAGTACGCCTCCGCGGAGCAGAGACAAGAGACATAAAGTCCGGAACCGCAGGGATCGCAGGCCTGGCTCTCCACCTGCTCCGCCAGGTACGCGCGCTTGGCCTCGCATCCACAAAGGATCACCTCCTAAGATCCTCTCAAACTCCAAAGCTCGAAGAAGTCCGTTGAAGCTGACTCCCGGGCCTGTAATGTCTCAATCTCCTTCTGCTGCTCGCGCTCTTCGGCCTTTCACGCTGCATCCGAAAGTCTGAGAAGAGCCTGTCGAGTGCTGCCGGATCGCACCTCCTTGCACACCATTTCGTCCTCGATGGTCTGCACCTTGTGCTCTTGAGCCTGCAAGTGCAAATATCATATCAGATAACACCCATCCCTTTTCTTCTTCTCGCCGACATGGGGGAAATTGCCCGACCGAGTGCCTCAAGCACTAAGCACACCATCAGGTCGTTACCGGGGGGGGGGGGGGGAATGCGCTGTCTGACTCCATGTCACTCTCATCTCTGTCTTATCTCATTTCAAGCTGTCATGCTCATCCATCTCTCCCTCTCCCCAAATTCTTCGGCCTGGATGATGCTGCGCAAGCGATCGGCTTCCACTTCAAGCCTCGTCCAGGATGGAGAAGAGAGTATACAGCCGCAGCACGCCAGGTTTTGGATCCAGGATTCAAGAATGCACTTGGGCTTCTGCTGAGCAGGCATCTTCTGGAGTTCTAGCAACCTGTCATGCTCTCCGTGGAAATCTTGCAACCTGAGTGTCAAGGCGGATCTATCCACATGCCACTTCCTCCCCGTCTCAACCTAGGCCACTGGCCGCTGCTGCATTTCCACCTGCTGGTTCTCTAGCCGTTGGATTTCTGCCTGCAGGGCTTCCAGGCGCTGCATGTAGATCATCCGCAGCCTGCACAAGCTGCGATCTGCCCTCTGAGACTAACAAGCTGCAAACATCACGTCGCCTCTCTTCGTCACCACTGTCGTCTTTCCCACTCAAGAAGTTTAAGTAGTTCTCATGTAAGGATCTGAGAACGTGATGATCTCCTGGCACCGGCACTCGCAAGCCTCATCGGCCTTCACACGCCCGGACAAAAACAAGGGAAGGCAGAATGAAATGCGAGACACAAAGAGACGGTCAAAGCAGAACTCTTCGGAACCATGTTCCTAGATTGCAGCTTACAGTCATGGGCATGCATCGCAGCAGGCACCCAGCACAAAGCAAGCTCTGAAAGAAACCTGGCAGGATTACCTGCGTCCCGGTCAGGGTCTCCCACATCCTGTTGCACATACAAGGACTCCTTGCGGAAGTTGGCAAGCACTATGTGCTGGCGGCCGGCTGAAAGCCCAAGTTGGCAAGCTGCCAACGGCTCAATCAGCTCGTCGTTGATGCGAACCTGATTCTTCGCAACAGCACACCAACTCGGGAAACTGAGCACCGGTCTGCCTTGGATACTACAGTCTTTTGAGCGCCTTGCAAGGACTGTGAGCCAGTCCAAGACCGCCAGCAGTTGCCTGCTAGCCATGGGCGAGCGCAAAGTGAGTAAAGTCGAAGTTCTAAGGTTGGGACGGCCAAGTATTCGGACCGCTGATGGCCTCCACAGCAGACACGTTGGTCAAGCCAAACCATACTGGAAAAATCAGCAGTCCTGAAGCTTGGATCGATTCACTTCCACCGGATACTTCAACCGCCGCATGATACTGGGTACCTCGGCATTTTCCGGAACCCGACTGTTAATGAGTTGTTGCCAGCCGCGCCCTGCTTGCTGCATGCTTTGTGCTTTCAGTCACCCACTTCATCTTCCATCTTGCCTTCGACTTCCAACTGTGGGTCCTGGCACAACAGAAAACAGAGGCGAGTCCTCTGCTGTCCAAGTCACCGCTGCAAGCACACAGGGTCCAACTGGGCAATCAAGAAGCGAAAAACGTCGTAGAACTCTTTCGTGGAAGGATCCTGCCCGGAGCTAGGACGGAGTTTTGAGTCGTAAGAGTGACATCTATAGGCCTTGAGGAGCTTGTCGTGTGAGAACGTCTTGGAGTATCCCCGAGCCTTGACTACAAAAAAGCGGAACACTGTTGCCAGTTGCAGAAAGTCGGTCCGACACTTGGCCCCTTGCAGAGAGGAGTTCCACCACGTTCTTGGCGCATTGCGCAGTGAAGGCTCTGTCTCCGACTGGTCTCGGGTCGCGAGAGTGCCTTGACAGACTTGACAGTGCACATGTCATGGACCGCTCTTGACTCTTGGAACCCGGCCTTGAGCTCACGAGTGCGCGGGTGCGCCCTGACATCGGTCCACGAGTCTTTGCAAATCTCCGTCGAATTCGAGCATCGGCCTGTACCGCTCGGGAACAGCGCACGCCTTCCATCAACACCAAGCGAAGATCCTAAAAAAACGACGCCAAAAGCTGAAGCATCGTGCCTGCGAGGTGAAGTACCAATGTCCTCACCCGAACCCACCTTGCAGATTCATTTGGATTTATTCAGGCCCCCAGCCGACTTGCACTTGAGCAACTCGGGCGCTGAACCGAAGAGGCACCAGGAGATTGTGCCCGGAGTCTGCTGACGCGCGATGGCCTCAACTTCGCCAAGAGCATGCCATCTCTTCAGTTCTCTGAACTCGTTGAAGCCCCGGCTCACCCAGCGACGGCCGAAACTTTTGCTTCGGGGTGCTTGCCATGACAGGCCGCGACCTGGTGACCGGCCTTTCTTCCTCTCTCGAAGCCGAGTGCAGCTACGCCTACGCTTGAGCAGTCGCCAGGAAAAGATGTCGCGCATCACACACACACACACACTGCTTGCCGGATAAGTTCACCTTTTAGAACTGCTGTCTTCCGTGGTCACCCCGTCAACCCAACCCTAGCAATACCGTTTGGAGCTTAGCTGGCAAACTTAGCTGTATGGGACACGAGATTATCGAATGAGTGGTTTGTGGCTGCGCTCTGGGCTTCGGGGCTGGCTGTTTGTTGTTGAATCGATGTCTCCGGGCAGCCGCAGGAAACTGAAGTGACGGATTGACAGGACAGCTTGGACAAAGCAAACCCCTACACTGCCGAACACCCTGCAAGTAAAAGACTGGGGCTTTTTCCGATGGGTAGTCAACGAAGGTCCATAGCGTTGAACCAAAGTCTTGATCCACTCATGCTCAGAGAGCAGATGAGAACCGAAGCCCTGTCCCAACCACCAGCTCCACCCGCTATTGTCAGGCCACACCTCCACTTTCACCAGCTTCTCGGCCACAGATGACACAAGCAACTGCGCGAAGTGTCTGTCCAGTTCCGGCTCAACCTCCCTACGAACTGTCTTCAAGAAGTCGTGCAACTGCAACTTTACAGTTCTCAACCTGCGGCCAAGATTTCCTGGCGGAGCCGGGAGCAACAAAGCAAGCAGAATTCCAATCGATACCACAAGAAGCGAGCTCCAGGCTCGCAGGCGCGCCAACCACAGAATTGGAAAGAAGACTAACAGAATCCTTGAGGAAGGTATAGGTTGAGACAAGTCTGGACGAGGTGCTTCAGGAGCCTTGCTGACATCACAACTTGAAACGTGAAGCGCCGATGATGACAGGGGCACCAGGGAATCTGTTCCACTGCCAATGAACACCAAAGTCTTGAAACAATCAAGGAAGTTGCCAGATTGGCAGAGACGATGCAACCGAGATCCACGGGCACGTCTGCCCTCCATGTGCATGACCTGTTCCAGCCAAAGTGGGCTCGAAGAACATGACCTCCAAACGGCCACTCGCCACCAGTACCACCAGGATAATCCGGGCACAAAGAGGCCGAGATGCGGTGTACCCAAAGAGATAAACGTCAGCAACTTCTCATGACGGGATGTAAGCCACGCCAGGGCTGCTCTTGCAATTAGCCCACCCGTCCCCAAGCACCAGAAACTGAGTGAAAATGATTTTCCGATCTCTTTTTCAATGGCATCCAGCTTGGCCGATACCTCTTGTGCCAGTTGTAAAGCCGCGAAATCAAGATCATCCTCCTTCAAAGCTGCCTGAACCCCGTCAGGGATCTTGCTCATGCTGGGTACCCAAACCATATCTTCTGGCAACAACAGTTGCAACTGATCACATAAGTCCTCCAAGCTGGATGGAGGAATGTAGGTGTGGCCTGGAACCACAACTATCAACACTCCATCTGCCGAGAAACGGTTGCCTGCGGAGGCCGAACCGGTCTCCAAAGAACCGATCTCTTTCACGCACAACGGAGTTGCAGGAGACATGTCTGCCGAAAGCAACCGAAGCACATGCGTATATACCTCAAACCGAACCATGCCCATGTGTCTCGACTTTAACGGACTTTAACGTTCTGCATGGAAACTTGCCAAAGATTGCAAGCCTAAATGTCTCGAAATAGTGCATTTGGCATCATGGACACACTGTTCTCAACGCACGTTTGAATTGCACATGCTCCTACAAATCAAGCTTGCCACAGTTGTTCCAAGTCCCAATGACGACGTTTCCATGCATCTTTGCAACACCATGCAGCTTCGAACACAAAATGATTGACCTTCCTTCTCCAATAAGCGGTTAATACACAAGCCTGTTTGATATGTATATATTTGTTGCTTGAACCTGGTGACATTTCTTCAAACTAAATTCTTGCGCAGAAATGAAAGTCAAAATGGAAATTTTTCTTGGGTGACCATTATCTTTAATCCAGTGATCATCTGAATGGAAAGTTGCGTGAATAATCGTTTCAGAATTCTTGGAACAATTCCCGAACTTTAAGCCCTAAAATCCCAGGCATGCTGTTGATTTGAAACCAGAAGGCCTGATTCAGAATGGTCTCTTTTGCCAGGAATGGAATCATCCAACTTGGTGAAAAAATAATGGGACAGCAGGTCCAGTATTTTCAATCGAGTTTTGGTGAGGCGTATAAGGCTCTTGTTGGAAGATTGGGAAATTACACCTTAAACCTTCAAGCCCCTACGCCCTACACCCTTAAACCCTGAACTTTTATCGGCTACGCCCTTTTGCGCCAGTGCAATATTCAGAAGCAACGTCAATTGAAATTCAATTCCATGCATGTCAACCGTAATCAGCCAGCACCCGCTAAGCAAATTTATTTCGATTATTACATTTGTGTGAACAGAGGACCTGGCGGTTGGGCTTTCGTGAAGAGTTTCGTGGAAATTTGGGCTTTCGTGGGGAGGGATCGGGTGTGGGGAAGGATTTCGGGCTTTCGTGAAAACGGATCCCGGCTTTCATGGGGAGGGATTCGGGCTGATCTCGAACTTTCGTGGAATTTCGTGGGGAGGGATTCGAGCTTTCGTGGAGAGGATTTCGTGGGAGCGGATTCGCTTGGGAGGATTTGGGCTTTCATGTGGAGGAATCGGGCGTGCGTGGGGAGGAGTTTGGGCTTTCGTGCTAATATACTTGGGTTTCCTGGAAGATTCGGGTTTTCGTGGTTTTGTGGGGAAGGATCCGGGGCTTTCGTTGGGAAGATCTTCGGCCTTCGCGGCAAGGCTTTCACAAGGAGGATGTTAGGCTTTCGGGCTCCGGGTTTTGGGTCCGGGTCTGGGGTCGGGGGTCCCGGTAAGTTTTGGGTTTCGGGTTCCGGGACCCGGATGTTGAAGTGTGTTGAGTCTCTGAGCTCAAGGCATCGAGCGCTGCCTTTTTGGGGAATCCTAGTGCGTCTGTTGAGTGTTTCCTCGGTGCTTCGCGTGCTGATAGCAATTCAGCACCACAGACGGAAAGCGCCTGTGCGTGAAAGACGAAAGACACTGCAAGAGCGCGGTCCGGGACCAGCGCGGACCAACGCAGGTCCGGAACAGGTATGGAGGGATGTAACATAACAAGGAATCCTCCGGAGCGAGAAGGCAGCTGTGAGTCCGAGGCGATGTAGCCGCTCGTGACCACATTCCAGCCCCTAGCGCGGAACTGATGCTCCTGACCAGTGTGTTTCCTGCAGGCAGACTACATGATGCGGGCATGTATGAACCCATTCCTGAACTTCATAGGAGCTGAGACCTCCCCTGTGTTCCAGCTTAGAACTGAGAGAACTGCTGCAAAAGCTCCTGCACGCCGGGGGCCTCTGCGAAAAGAGTCAGGTTTTATGTGTCCTGGTCGGAGGCTATCTCGACGACCTGGCGCAGAAGCAGAGGTTTGTGGTGCATGTTGGTTTTCGGGGGTCAGCTGCACGATCCCGTTGATCGACTGCCTCTAAAGCTCGGTTGGCCTGATCAAAACTAACTTCCTCATCACCTCCACAAGCCGCAGTGCCATCCCTCAGGGCTCTTCCGCAAGCTCGCCGATATGATTGTGTCTTAGTCTCCGGTGGCAAGTCGCTTGGCAAGTGTTGTCTCCCCGCGGATTTGGGACCGGGCCGCCAGCTCCAGGTTCACGTCTGCAGTATGGCGTGCCTGTAATCACCACTGGTCACCACTGGTGTAATGAAAGCTCAACCGGAGGCTGCCTCACAGAAGCTGTAAACGCGGTACCATGCACAGCTTCAAGTACACAAACAAATGTGTGGTTGGAGAGCCAGGGAACTGGGAACTGTTGGAATCTCAAAGGTGGGCCCTCCACATGCTGTCGTGTGGTGATTCGACGGACAACAACACCAACAACACCAACACCTTCAACACACGGCACATCGGAACAATCTGATCGTCGTGGGGGATTTCTACCTGCAGGTTCCATGTTGCGGGCTGCTCTTTTTCTACTAGAGAGACGCATACACAAGAAAGCTCAAAAGCAAACAAATAAAAACAAGAGCAAAGAAGAAAATTAAAAAGCCAAAAAGGGGCAAATACAAAACAAGAAGCCAAGTCAAAATTTCCAGCGGCAAATAAGGAGAAAAGAAGCAAATAAGAAAAAAATAAGAGCCGAAGAAAGAAAAAATTAGCCAAATACGGCAAATGAGGGCAAATAAGGCAAAAAATAATAGGCAAATAATGCAAGAAGAGACAAAAGGCAAACTGAAGAAACCAAAAGGCAAACAACAAGCGAAATAATGGAACAGAAAGGCAAAGAAAAGAAAAACAAAGGGCAACAAGCAGGAAAAATTAAGGACAAGTAGAGAAGCCACACAAACCAAATTCCCATCTGGCCTACTTTGGCCACTACTCGGGTGGTCAGACACCGAAGAAGCACGTCAGTCACATCCGTGAGTAAGACAATGGAAATGGGAGAATGGACGTTTCAGAGCCCCTCCAGGCTCCTCCCAGACAGTAAGAGGCATAGCTCTGTCTCCAGCCATCTCTGTGGCCCAAACCCCCAATATGTCTACAATGTGCATTGATTTTCACCTTGACGGGGCCAGCAAGCCCCGCCAACCCACTAGGGCCCTCTATGCTTTCCAACACAGCCTCCAAGCGCGCATTGCAGTGGGAATCGAGGGCGCAGCCTCAAACCTGAACAGAAAGCGATTTGGGTGGTAGCCTTCTTCAGCGGGTAAGAAATTGATCAAATCCCAGTTATTTTTTTTGGATATGATGCTTGGATCGGCGGCGTCATCGCTGTATACAGGGGAGGCCCCTTGTGGTGCA